TCAGCTGAGTTCATCTTCAGTGCTTTTTTGTCAGTTGTGGGCAAGCTGCGACGTGGGGCCAAGCCTGACGGCAAGGCTATAATAGACGAATTTGAGCAGAAGCTTCGGGCCTGTCATACCAGAGGTTTGGATGGAATTGAGGAGCTTGAGATTAGCTAAGCAGGTAGCCAGAGAGCCCCGTCAGCCAAGAAATCATCCACTGTTTCTAGGCACCAGCCTCTGCCTTCTGCATGCTCAGACAGTGACTTTGTCACACCAGAGCTCCGCCGTACTACCCGTCGCCATCCAAACACCCAGCAGCAAGCTTCCAAAAAGAAACCCAAAATTGTCTTCTCAAGTGATGAGTCCAGTGAGGAGGATCTTTCAGCAGAGATGACAGAAGAGGAGACACCCAAGAAAACAACCCCCATTCTCAGAGCATCGGCTCGCAGGCTCAGATCCTAGGAGTGGCCTTGCCCATTCCTGACCTCCCTGTGCAGGGTATCTTGTACCGTGGCCTGGAATTCTAATTCTGTGCCCCTTGTAAAATACTTATCTGTCTCCTTTTTTAAAAAAAATAAGCAGTCTTTAAAATGAAAGGCCTTTCTCTTAAATTAGCCTAACTGAACTGTGTTGAGCTGCTTTCACTTTGGAATATATGTTTGCCAATCTCCTTGTTTTCTAATGAATAAATGTTTTTATATACTTTAAAAAAAAAAAAAAAAAAAAAAAAAAAAAAAAAAAAAGAACTGTACTTCCTGTAACATCTACAGATATAGTCTCATACATGGGCTAAGAGTGATGTTTCTTACCATTGGCACTACTGACTTTTTTGGGTCAGATTCTTTGTTGTGCATAGGGTGTCTGGTGCACTGTAGGAAACTGACTAACACCCCTGGCCTCTACCTACTAGATGCCAGTAGCATGCCCCTCTCCCAGCTCTCACAGCGAAAAATGTCTCCAGACATTGCCAAATGTCCATGGAGGTTGGGGTGGGGCGCGGGGATGATCATTTGTGGTTGACAACCACTGGCATGGGAAAGTTCTGTTTCTAACAGACAAAAAGAAAATTAGAATTTCTAACTACAGGAAGAGATGGTTAAACACAGGAAGAGATGCTTAAATAACAATATATTCATATCATCAGATGTTTTTGAAAATGTGGTAAAATTAAGGGTACCAACACAGTAAAAAGTCCTTAACTGAAATAATGCAATTCATACCATGATATCACATGTTAGTAAATACAGTCAACAAGTCCTATTGAGATACATCCCCAACTTACCAATGGTTACCCAGGTGAGACAAATGGTAACTTTTAAATTTACATATTTATGCATTTTAAATTAAGTACAAAATAAGTCTGATGTTATTTAAAAAGCACAAGAAAGAAAATCAGCTAATCAAAAAATATGTATTTTTGGGAAATTACTCAACAAATTAAGTATTTGTTGAGTTCCTTTGGCCACTCAAACACTTGAAGATAAAGAGCTAAGTAACTCATGGCCCTGAGAGTTGCCATTTGATCATGCCAATAAAAATCAAGATTTGGCTTTCATTTTCGTAACGTTTGGTTGAAACCTGAAGATTTACCTCAAGAGTTAAAGATAGAACTAAAAATAAGGGCAACAAAGAAATGAAACAAATTCTAGCCGGGCATGGTGGCTCACGCCTATAATTCCAGCACTTTGGGAGGCCGAGGCAGGTGAATCACAAGGTCAGGAGTTTGAGACCAGCCTGGCCAACATGGTGAAACCCCATCTCTACTAAAGACACAAAAATTTAGCCCAGTGTGGTGGCGTGTGCCTGTAATCTCAGCTACTTGAGAAGCTGGGGCAGGAGACTCGCTTTAACCCGGGAGGCAGAGGTTGCAGTGAGCCAAGATCACACCATTGCACTCCAGCCTGGATGACAGGGCGAGACTCTGTCTCCAAAAAAAAAAAAAAAGAAGAAATGAAATAGATTAAGGGCTACCTAAAATTAACTAATAAAAAAATAGTGACTTAGACAACAGTCCCAATCTTAAGAGTCCTCTTCTCAGCTGCTGTTTCAGTCACCGGTCACTGTCAGTGATACCTGTCTTCCAGTAACATGTTAGCATCCTTCTTTGCAGTTTATTTCCACCCTTTCACTGTGTTAGGGATTACTAAACTCCAATCCCCTGAGAGAAGGGAATGTGGCTTTGGAGATTAGGGTGGTCCTCTGAGACCATTCCAGAAACAGAGGTTCTGATAATGACTAATTTTGATATCAAGAGTTAATTAAGTCCACTGGCAGAGTTCTGCAAATGAATCATCGGATATAACAAAAATTGCTTCCCTTCCCCTATCCCCATCTTCCTGCTCAAGTAAAACAAACAGTTCGATTTAAGTCACAGCTCTTTCATCTGACAGGGAAATGAGTAGCTCGAAAAGGACAACTCTAATCTGCTACATGACAAGGAAAGGAAATCATATAATGAATTTCTGCAGGTAATGGTGGATCAAGGGAAGCAAGAAGCCCTTAAATTTTAAGATGAAAGCCAGGCCGACTGACTAGGCTATGGTCCAATTATCTTTCCCACTCCTACATGATGAGGTCAGGACCATTAATTCTATATTCAGGTAACCAGCACCCAACATCTTCTGCTTCAAAGCAAGGGAAAGCAGGATCAGATGCCAGTGCAGGGGGCGGGTGGGTATGGACCACAACTCAGTACAGTTCTTTTTGGTTCTGCATGAGAAATGGGTCAGCTAGTCCAATGCAGGCATGGTGCCTATGATGAATATGCATGTCCTTTAAGGCCGGCTGGAACAAACACATTAGCAATGTATACATAGCAGCGTAGTCCTAACTTTTAAAGAAAGACTAAGCTTATTTCCTTGGATCTCATTTAAAAAAAACCATTCTCCTTTCTAAATTTAAAAGGCAAAATAATCCTGTCATTTCTGTAGCTGGTCCAAAGCTTGCAGAATGGCATTTTTGGATACAACCTCTTCTTCCCAGCACACTCACAGGTTCTTCAGGAAATACGGTAGTGTGCTCGCTTGGGCAGCACATATACTAAAAAATAGGAAATACAGTAGTAACAACAGGGCCAGAGATGTGCCTTGTAGCACATTACAGAGATAGGTATGTGGCAGAGAGTTTGTCACCAAGCTTCTTTGGGTCAAAAAATATCCACATACTTTACAACAGTATGGTTTCTAAAGCAAAACTAACATACAATGAATAATGAGAATTGAGAAGTATCTTAGATATATGTCATGGGCTTCAAACGTAATGTACATGTAGTCATTTTAGTCATTTGACAAAAGAGCCTTCTATGTAGCAGGGCTTGGCCCTGGGGCTACAGTAGTAAATAAAAACAATTAATTCCTGCTTTCTGCTCCTGACAATTAGCTCCAACATTTGGAAGGGAATCTTCCAATCCCTTACAGCCCACCAATTAAAACCATCAAACAACATCCAGAAGAAAAAGCTATTCTAATCACATGGCTTAATCACAGGAAAAGTTTAGACAGTAAGATGAGCAATTCTTTACTCGAGTAAGGCAAGAATGCAAAACCATTTCTGTATTGAGGCCACAAATAAAATGGACTGGACCCAGAAAATTACTTCTAAAAGCACTGAGAGCAGGTGGGGGGTGAGGGATGGGACAGAGAACAATCTAGAAGCTGCCTTTTTGTCTTCCAGAACCTCCCCAACTAGAAGAGGATTAGGTATCATTTGTTTTCCATTCATGTGTGAAAATTTGAGGTTCCCTTTGAGACTGAGGATCAGCTCCAGATTTATATGAAATGAACAACAAGATACTGCAAGATTTTTACACATTCCCAAGTGCTGTCCAAGGAGTCCTCATGGCGGTGTTCAGAAGGGCACCAAGTACCAGAATGATACACTGTTACTAACATTTCAAAGGGAAAGCACGAACACCCACCACACACTCAGCATACTCACTTAGACTGGGTCTGTTTGGTGATGTTCCGAATGGTGGCACCTTCTTTTCCTATGATGGCTCCAACAAACTGAGTGGGAACCAGCAGGCGCAGAGGCAAATCACATGGTTTCTGCTTGGTCACAGATCCTGGAGACCCCTGCCTTGAGGAGCCCCTCTGCCCAAGCCCCCGGCGACCTCGGGGCTGCTGCAGGAGGTTTTGCTGGGTGGCCATTTCATCAGGGATATAGGCTACTTTCAAGGTGAAATTCTCTAACTGAAATCCATTCAGTTTGTCTAGTGCTCTGAAAGTTGACAAGGGGCAGGGGTACAAAGAGTAATCAATCTATATGATACATGTTTTAGCAAAGCAACACCCATCCCTTCTACTCAGCATTACTAGCTATAAGTTTCTGAGTAAAGCCCTAGCACAAGCAGCAAACCCACCACACACATAATCCTCCCTCTCCTCCACCCTGCACCACCAGCACCCACACACATCTTCCTCTGAGGCAGTAACAGTGGGGAAAAAGACCACAAGTTTCCAAAGTGAACGTATTTGCCATCTACTAATGAAAAATAGAATAACAAAAAACATTTTGTCAAACTCTCAGTTAAGTTTAACCCATAAGGTTATTAACAATTTAAGTATACACAGCAAGAGAAGCAAGTGGGCTTCTTGCCCTGGCTAATGTTTCCAAATCACAGTGGAAGAGCCATCAGAAATACATACCTCCTTCACTTTACCCTCTGAAATATGAAATATTTAAAACCATTTTAAGAACCAGTGGACAAATATCTCTAAATCATTCACAACAGACTATCCTGAGTATTAAATTCTACCAATCACACTCAGTACCTATTATGAGCCAGTCCTCAAGAAGACAGGAGTCCCTGACTTTGTGGTTTATGATCTGATTTGGGGCAAAGAGGCAGGGGTGGTGATAAACCAAAAAAAAAGAGAACTACTTTCTAATCTGTTCATTCATTCACCACACTATTTGGGGAAAGTTTCTCTCTTCTTCATTCTTTTTTTTTTTTTTTTAAAAAAAGACATTTATTCAGCGTCACGATCAGACTATTACATTTAGCAATCAACAGCATGGGTGCAAAAAAAAAAAAAAGAAAAAGAAAAAAAATCTACATTAAAACCCCTTGTTGGAATGCTTTACACTTTCCACAGAACAGAAACTAAAATAACCTGTTATACAATTAGTCACAAATATAGTCCTCGAGTTTTTTGCCCATACACATGAGTATTTGTCTAAATCATGTCTTCTTTGTAGCAGCTAGGCCCTGCCACCACTGTGCTTGGCTGAGTTCACAAATCTGTTGTAACCTGTAGCTTCCCTGTCACTTCTCTGGCTCTCCTCTCCTGCTAAGCTTTGTTTCCTAATTAAAATCTTCTGCCACTGCCATAGCTACTGCTGCTACTGGAACCACCATAGCCACCTTGGTTTCGTGGTTTGGCAAAGTATTGGCCGCCATAGGGGCCAGAGCTTCTGCCTCCAAAGTTTCCTCCCTTCATGGGTCCAAAATTTGAAGACTGATTGTTGTAACTGCCAAAATCATTGTAGCTTCCACCACCTCCAAAATTGCCTCCATCATTACCAAATCCATTATAGCCATCCCCACTGCCACCATATCCACCACCACCACGGCTGCCACCAAAACCACCACGACCACTGAAGTTTCCTCCGCGACCAAAGTTGTCATTCCCACCGAAACCACCTCCACGACCACCACCAAAGTTTCCAGAACCACTTCGACCTCTTTGGCTGGATGAAGCACTAGCCATCTCTTGCTTTGACAGGGCTTTCCTAACTTCACAGTTGTGGCCATTCACAGTATGGTATTTCTGAATGACAATCTTATCCACGGAGTCATGGTCATCAAAGGTTACAAAAGCAAAGCCCTTTTTCTTGCCACTGCCTCTGTCAGTCATGATTTCAATCACTTCAATTTTTCCATACTGTTCAAAATAATCTCTTAGGTGATGTTCTTCAGTGTCTTCTTTAATGCCACCAACGAATATTTTTTTCACAGTTAAGTGGGCACCTGGTCTTTGAGAATCTTCTCTTGAGACAGCTCTCTTTGGTTCCACAACTCTTCCATCCACTTTGTGTGGCCTTGCGTTCATGGCTGCATCCACTTCCTCCACAGTTGCATACGTGACAAACCCAAAGCCCCTGGAGCGCTTGGTGTTTGGATCTCTCATTACCACACAGTCTGTGAGCGTTCCCCATTGCTCAAAATGGCTCCTCAGGCTCTCATCGGTTGTTTCAAAGCTCAACCCTCCAATGAAGAGCTTCCTCAGCTGTTCCGGCTCTTTAGGAGACTCTGACTTAGACATGATCGCAGGGAGAAGAGAGACTTTAACGATGCTTCTTCGGCGGCGTCCACGGGCAAAAAGCTCTTCTTCATTCTTTTGGTTTTTTTGAGACACAGTCTTGCTCTGTCACTCAGGCTGGAGTACAGGTGCCAACTTGGCTCACTGCAACCTCCACCTCTGGGGCTCAAGTGATTCTCGTGCCTCAGTCTCCTGAGTAGCTGAGATTACAGATGTGCACCACAACGCCTGGCTGATTTTTGTATTTTTAGTAGATCTGGGGTTTCACCATGTTGCCCAGGCTGGTTCTGAACTTCTGACCTCAAGTGATCTGTCTGCACTGGCCTCTCAAATGCTGGGATTATAGGCATGAGCTACTGTACCCAGCTTCTTTTTAATTCTTGATCTTTATTATAACATGCAAAGAAAAGTGCCCAAATCTTGAGAATAAATCTCAGTGAATTTTCACAAGGTGAACACACACATCCAGATCCAGAACTAGAACACACCAGGGCTCCAGAAGCCCCACCAGTACGGGCTTTCAGTAGTCACTGCCTCCACAACCCCTCGCAGACTTCTAACACCATACATTATTTTTGCCTATTTAAAAATTTCATGTAAGTATATACGATATATATTTTCTCATATCTGGAAACTACCTTAAGATTCATCCAAATTGTTGTGTTCTATTTTCTGTTTTTTTGTTTTGTATTCATTTCTTGTGTGTTCTATTTTCAAAGAAGAAAATAATAAACTAATAGAGAGGATATAGCCCAAACTTCATAAACATACTCCTAAATGATACATTCCTTTTTAACTCCCCAGCACACAACAAAAAGAGAGAGGTCCCCACACTTCCCAGGCCACTCAGGTTCTGTGCTCAGATTCTTGAGTTCACCCCAGGTGGGGGAAAAAAAAAAAAAACAGGCATAAAGTGGTCTCTTTCTAGTTGTTTGGTGTGGCTGTTTCTGGCTTATACATTGCTTTATTTGCAAATCTGTTCTCAATTCTTGACTTAAATAGAAAAAAGGGGGTGGCGTGGGAGAATGGTTCTAGCACCAAAAAGGTCACAGAGGGCTGGGACCTGGAAGGTAGATCCAGGCAAGCAGAGGGCTCGCTGACATTCTCTGGCCTAGAATGATTCTCAGTTTCTCGCTTCAATCCTCTATCACTGTTCTACCTTCTCTGGAACATGAATGAACTCTTATTAAAAGATCAGTCATGCAGAAAGTAGCAAGAGGTTGCTCTGGCACCATCACCAACCCTCCAAGGCCCTTCCCAGAACTGCTGCTCACTGCAGTACTTCTAGAAATGGACCAGTCCTTTCTATGTGTTTACGAACACATGTATTCGTGTCCAGTACCTTTGTTAAAACCATAACTGGGGTTGTGATGTTGACTGCTCTGTGGTTTCTTTTTAAATACAATGTCTTCAGATATTTCCGTGTGATTTCTGTGTCAGAGGGCAGTCTTTTCATAAGCTTCAGAGGTGATAGCTGGCACACGCCACACTTATTTTGCCAATGCCTTGATGACAGAACGTTAAGGTTAACACTGTGCTTTCCTCCTGTCCCCTTTTTCTCTTAAGGGAATGTGGATTAAGAATGCTAAAATATTTTGGTTATTTCTAAAGGAAGACAACTGCTGAGAAATTTTAATATTTATGGTGTATATTTGTTATAAAAAGTTGCAATTGCAGAAGAGTCAACCAACTACAGATTCTTTCAAAACAGATTTAATTTTTTTTTTCTGAGACAGAGTTTTATTCTTTTTTCTTTTTTTTTTTTTTGTGAGGCTGAGTCTCGCTATGTCAACCAGGCTGGAATGCAGTGGTATGATCTCAGCTCACTGCAATCTCGCCTCCCAGGTTCAAGTGATTCCCCTGCCTCAGCACAGCTGGGACTACAGGCACGCACTCCCACGCCTGGCTAATTTTTTGTATTTAGTAGAGATGGGGTGTCACCATGTTGGCCAGGATGGTCTCCATCTCCTGACCTCGTGATCCACCCGCCTCAGCCTCCCAAAGTGCTGGTATTACAGGCGTGCGTGCACCATGCCCGGCCAACAGAGTTTTATTCTTCTTGTTCAGGCTGGAATGCAGTGGCGTGATTTTTGCTCACTGCAACCTCTACCTCCGGCTTCAAGAGATTTTCCTGCCTCAGCCTCCTTAGTAGCTGGGAATATAGGCACACACCACCACCACCCCCCACCCCCGGCAGCTAGTTTTTGTATTTTTAGTAGAGAGGTTTTGCTATTTTGGCCAGGCTGGTCTTAAACTCCAGGCATCAGATGATCCACTCACCTTGGCCTCCCAAAGTGCTGGGATTACAAGGCCTGAGCCACCACACCGGGCCTTAAATGTTTTTAAAGTCAGGAATAAACAGATCATTGAAGGTTCTTTAAAAAATTAAGGAAACCTGAACCCAATGAAGGCATCAACTACATCTAGGCATAAAAGGTAATCTAGTTCATACCACAGCCTTTTTCATTATAAATGGCATATTGCCAGCTTCAGAAGAGAGTAAGTATATTTTGACTAGTGAATTAAGTCATCAATGTTACAAAAAAGGTAGGTAACTTTTTTCTTGAGTGAGACAGACATATACAGATATCATTCTTCCTGGGGTAAAACAGAGGTATACAGGTCAGTTACCAGATGCTTCTATATTCTAGAACCATCTAAATTAAGTCACATGTATCACAAGAAACAACTTTATAACTTGGCAAAAACTTCTAACTTATATTGTGCTGCTTTAAAAAGATTTTTCTTTGTGGGAAAAAGAAAAAATTCTCACTGAAGAGATCAAATGGCCCAGAGTGCTAGTCTCCGGTGTACCCCCTGGATTCCAATGGCTCCAGACTCAGGCTGCTCCAGGCATAATGCAGACAGCCCCTATTGTGTGTATGGGACTACCTAATTGCCAATTTAAGCAGAGTTCCTGATCTCTCAAACCATAGTGCTCCACATTCAGACACAGCTGAAAAGGTACAGGAGGAACCTAACTGCTGAATGGTGGCTTTCTCATGACTGCAGCTCCTAAGTTACTGAATTTAAGTCAACCACAAGAACCTTTCTAGGCACAAAGTTTACTATTCAGCTATGTCATACAGTGATCTGCTGAGTTCATGGGAAAAAAAAAAATTTAGTATTTTCACGAGACCCACTGTAGATGCAAGACATGAGATAAACAACTGTTATCATTATTTGAAACATATGTATTCAGTTAAAGAGAACTTGAAGATGTTTATCCAAAATGTATATTACTCAGGATCCTGGTTTTCTTTTTTTTTTCTTTGAGATGGAGTTTTGCTCTTTTTGCCCAGGCTGGAGTGCAATGGCACAATCTCAGCTCCCTGCAACCTCCACCTCCCGAGTAGCTGGGATTACAGGTGTATACCACCATGCCTAGCCTTTTTTTTTTTTTTTTTTAAAAAAAAAACTAGAAACGGGGTTTCACCATGTTGGTCAGGATGGTCTCCAACACCTGACCTCAAGTGATCCACCTGCCTCAGCCTCCCAAAGTACTGGGATTATAGATGTGAGCCACCGCACCCTGCCAGGATCCTGTTTTTCATCATCACTTGACTCTTCGCTCTTGATGCTATTTTAAGGGTCACTGAGAAGATGCCAAGTAGTTTTGTTAGTTGGTAGAATTTAATTGTATTGGTAAGAAGTCTACTGGCACCAGACGCCTCATGCCTATAATCTCAACACCTTGGGAGACCAAGGTGGGTAGATGACTTGAAGTCAGGAGCTCAAGACCAGCCTGGCCAACATGGAGAAACTCTGTCTCTACTAAAGGTACAAAAACTAGCCAGGCGTGGTGGCATGCACCTATAATTCCAGCTGCACAGGAGGCTGAGGAATGAGAATTCCTTGAAACTGGGAGGCAGAGGTTGCAATGAGCCGAGATTGTACCACTGCACTCCAGCCTAGGTGACAGAATGAGACTGTCTCCAAAAGAGTTCACTGGGGTAGATCACCATTTAGAGCTGAATGGGCTTCAAAATAGAGAATAAGTAGTTCAACTTGAGGATGAGGAGGAAAGAGAAAGAAATAAGAAGAAATGAGACCCAGATAAGATAAATGTACCCAAGAGTCCACACATACAGATCTGAATCATGAAAAAATACAGATTAGAGACCAGAATTCTAGTCCAGCTTGATCATTAAATAACCATGTTACCCTCCAAAGGTCATTTTCCAGTTTGGCATTGGCTGTCTCCCTATAAAATTAAAAGACTAGACTCATGGTCCTTTTAGCTCTAAAATTTCATGCCTGGCTGGGTGCAGTAGCTTGCACCTCTAACTCCAGCACTCTGGGAGGCCGAGGAGGGAAGATCACTTGAGCCCAGGAGTTTGAGATCAGCCTGGGCAACAGAGTGAGATCCTGTCTCTACCAAACAAAAAAGAAAAAGAAGAAAAAAAGAAAAAAATTAGCTGGGTGTGGTGGCACAAGCCTATAGTCCCAGCTACTTGGGAGGCTGAAGTGGGAGGGCTGTTTGAGCCCAGGAGGTTGAGGCTACACTGAGCCATGATTGGGCCACTGCACTCCCAAGTCTGCCTGGGCGACAGAATGAGCAGCTGTCTCAAAAAATAATAAATAAAATTCCATGTCCAAAAAATCTCCTGTTTTTTATCCTCAGATGTCACCCTGTAAATACTACAGGGTCCTAACAAAAATGAGGTTTAACCCATTATTGAATAGTCACAAATTCAATTATCTCCTTGCACCAAGAATAGGAGGTTGACACAATTTAGCAATCATTATTGAAAGCCTGGGTAATATGATGATCGTAGGGATGTACCTTAATGAAATAAATACTGGACAAAGCCCAAGTGTAGGGCTTCATGACTATATTGGTTCTAAAAACAAAACAAAACGACATGGGCAAATGCCCTAGATGATGCGCAACAGAAGTCAGGAGAGGTAAACTGTGGTGAGGATCCGACACTATGCAGAGATTAGAATCAGTATAAATATACTGAATGACAAACCCACAAAATCCTGCAGAATGATCTTTGTAATTCTGAAAGTTATAATGCATGGGACAAAGTCTATAAAACTCTATGGCAAATTTAACAGTGGTTATCACT